AGAACGATGGGATGCAGAACTCAAGTTCTAGTAAGAAGACCAGACTTAATGGTCTGACTGAGACTGGAGGCGCCCCAGAAAGCATGGCCCCTGGTCTATCACCCCAGAATTAAAACAATTTCCGAGGCCAACTCTTCAGACCGGGATTGGACTATACTGTGGGACATAAGTGATACTTGTGAAGAATGTGCCTCTTAGTCAAGTAGATACAAGAGATCAAAGGGGCGGCTTCTGTCCAGAGGTGAGATGGGAAGGCAGAGAGGGTTACGAGCTGGTTGAACGTTCATGGGGAATCAGAGGTGGAGGGGAGGAGTGTGCTGTTGCAGAATGGCGTGAGTGGTTGGGGTCTCATAACAATGCATGTAAAAAAAAAAGTTCTGTATGGGAGACTAACTTGAAATGTAAACTTCATTTAATTACAATAATTAAAAAAAAACTGTAAAAAAAAAAAAAAGAAAAGAAATGTGTCTCACCCAAATTGAGGTGTACTGTATGATTTCAGGAATCCCTGGGTGGTTCAAAAGGTTAATGTGCTTGGCTGTTAACTGAAAGGCTGGAAGTTCTAGTCCACCCAAAGGCTACTTGGAAGAAAGGCCTGGTGATCTACTTGCGAAAAATCAGACACTGAAAATCCTTATGGAGCACAGTTATACTTCAATACACATGAGGTCGCCTTGAGTCAGAATTGACTTGAAAGCAGCTGGTAACTGGTAAGATATTGCAGACTTAGTATGAAAAAAAAGGGACATAAAATATGTAAAATAACTCACTAATTATTTTTTATATTGAATACATTATAAAATTACATATATGGCCACACTATATTTCCACTGAACAATACTAAAATAACTATGTTTTGATATGTTTCCATAATAATTTTCATAATAACAATAGTGGCATAATAATGAGTTAGTTATAAAGTTTTCATGGTTGTACCAAAAGTATCAAACAACAAAATTATCTGAACAAGAACAGTCCTTGTTACTCTACAGTAGCAAGCGTGGGGTGGCTATACTCTTTAGCGGATTAAAAAAAGAAAAAGTAAAGAAAACCAAAGCAAAAGCTCAGGAATATTTTAAAAATTCAATGCTCCTAATTTTGTTGGTTCAAGGAGTAGTATTAATTCTCTAAGAATTTATTGAGTTCCTGGCTGGTGCAAGCGGTTAATGTGCTCAGCTGCTAACCTAAAAGTTGGAGATTCATGTCCTAAAGGCACCTCAGAAGAAAGGCCTGGTGATCTACTTCTGAAAAATCAGCTATTAAAAACGCTGTGGAGCACAGTTCTACTCTGACACACATGGTGTTGCCATGAGTCGGAAGCGAGTCTATGGCAACTGGTGGTTACTTACCATTTGCTGACGCATAGTGTGTTTCTGAAAATATCTCAAAGCAGCAAACCGTGGTTTTAAAAGACCACAGTGCCAGCTTGGGAAACTCAAGTCCATAGGGAAGGAACGCTATGGGAGATGAAGAGACAAAACCTAGGCCCTGCACATGGATTAAAAGCAGCAAGCAGGAGGAACCCAAATTAAAACAAAATTAAGTTCAAATAACTATTCCATAACACATATGTCCTGCATGTTTTACCCAAACTTTTCCTTATATCTTTAGTTTATATTTTTGGCTGATTTTGGTCATATCTCCAGGATTAGCCTGAAAAGATCTAAAAAGTTCCATTGTCAGGTTCAGAATTTCCTTTATATTTCAAATTTCAAGTACTGTACTTTTACATAAATAACGCACGTCTTCTATGTTTGTTTGCCAACTGCGCCCTCCCTCTGCGAGGTATTTTCATAAATGCCACTATGCCAATTATTTTTCACGTGCTGCTATAAAAAATTTAGCATAGCACGCTTATGAAAATACATCACGGGGAGGGTGCGGTTGGCAAACAAACATACAAGGCACACGTTATTTGTGTAAAAATATGTAAGCTAAATTCATGCTTAGCAATCTACCATTAAGTGCTTACCAAACTTCTAGGTAGGGGCTCATCAATCAGTCTCTTCCCTAATCCCCTACATACTGACTACAAGTTTTGATATCTCACAGTTGGCATTAGAAGATCCAAGTAAGTTCTTTTTTCTGGTAGCAGCTTACAACAAATTTTGCATTAAGTTTAGATTTCAGATG